CATGCCCTGTTTCGTACTTTGTGGGAGAATACCACTTGAAAGTGTGCCTTCAAGATTTCCAAACGTTTAAAACAGAAACATAATTTTCTTACTGTAGCAGGGTCCTAATTTTCTTACAATAGCGGCTTGTCTTGGAAGGCAAACACATGAAGGTGGGAGGCAGGTCGAGTGGAGAGAGAATGGAGCACTGTCAGAAAGATGCAGCCCCAAAGTCTGCGTGAGCCCACTGAGCTTGGACATCCGCTCCTCCCAGGGCTCAGTCAGATTTCCCTCAGGGCTGACACGTGTTATCTGGAGCAGCCAGTTGGGGGAAAAAAGTCTTTAGGAAGTGTCTGTTTAATTGCTAATGTTTCTAATCAAAAGGAAAAACAGCTCTGGGAAAGCAGGATAGGGAGTATTAACTCCGGTGCCCTTCCCACCAGGAGAACAGTGCTGGTGTGTGCTGGGGCCTCGGGGCCTGGCCCGGGATGCTGATGCAAGGGAAGGAAAAGAGAAAGGCAGCAGTGGGGAGGAATGCGTCGGATTCTGAGGGCTTCTCTGAATGTCGGGATGGAGAGATGGATGAAGATGTGGAGACCCTGACCATATTTGCATGGAATTGCTTAGCACTTCCCTCTCCCCTGTTTGAACCATCATTTTATGGGGAGTAGTTGATAGTCAAGGCTTGGAGGAAAGAGCAGAGGCAGCTGTGGGATGCTCTTCTGGGGCCTTGAGATTGTAGAGGATTACTGTTTGGTTGACTGTTTAGCTCTCGATCCTACGGTCCCTGTCTATCTCCCTCATCTTTTCTGTATTTCCTTTAATATAAAATCCTTGTTTTCTGCCCTAAGGAAGCCTTAAAGAAAATGCAACCTATGAATAGCAGCATAGGTCTTCCATGTTTGAGGATCAGTTACAGCTGGATGTGTGACGTGTTTTCTCCTGTTATCAGGAATCTGTGAAATATTTATAGAAATAGGTGTGCTGAGGGCTGGAAGGATTGCAGAAGTTGAAGGATTCTGGTTTTATGGCCTCTGGAGCCTTGAGTGGAACACGCACAAAGAGCTCTAGAAATGGTGTTGGAAGAGGGAACGAATGCAGTGCTTTGGGAGAACAAGGAAAGGTGAGGCCAGGCATCCAGGCAGCCTTCATGGAAGAGGTGGGAAAGCACCTGGGCTTGTGAATAGGAGACGTGGGCAGTGAGTGACCTCTTTTGATAGGTCACCGTTGTTATGACGTGACTTCCTCTTAAGGCAGTGAGGTGGAATCTAGACTCTAAAGCCGCAGCGAGCACTCTTTTATCCAGGATTCATACCAAACAAAACAAACAATCTCCCCACACCCCCCAAAACAAAGCCTCGCTCAAGTGTTTGTTTTCTCCTCATGGCATTTACCGATGTAAGTAATTGTTCATAATATGTTACCTTGAGTCCTTACAAGATCCTCCTGGGCCCTCAGATTCAAAGAAAGATGAAAAACATGTGAAAACACTTTGCTAGTATAATGTAATCCTACTCTGATTCATTGACTGTTCATCGTGGTTGAGTATGAGGTACATGAGTGGAAGCCATCCCAAACATTCCTGATAATGGACATTTCTAAAACAGAACAGGGATAAACTCTAAATTGGAGGAATTTCTTCTTCAAATGGTTATGCCTTTCCAAGCTTGATTCCAGGGAAAACTATAAAGACGGTTGTCTCCCTCACCTTTCTACTTCATTAAGTCATTTAACAATTCAGCAAACATTTTTTCTTTGCTAAGTGCTAGAAGGTAAAAGGCAAATAAGATAAAATCCTTTTTAGAAGGAAGCTGAGAAGAGGCTGATGTGAAAGTAAATATTTATCTGCAAGTTATGTTCTATCTACAAAACTCAATGAGAATAAAATGAAGTGAGAAGACATGAATAATGTTAAGCGTTAGCCTAACTTTGCTACTGTTTTAAATACAAAGGAATCCTGATAACATTTACAATGGTGGTGGGTAAAATTCAGACACAGGTTGAGAGTCCCTGAAATAGTAATACGTCCTGAGCTTGCAATGAGGGAGTGTGAATTCAGCCCACCTGCCTGTGGTGTAGGACAGACTGAGTACTGATTCTCCGAGGGTGGCTCTTGTCCTGAGCAGCACAGGGAAAGTGCTTTCACAAGGTTTCCCTGCCCTCTCTATCGTTTTTCTCCATTCCTGTTGCTGATGGTGTTACTGAAAAATGGACCGGTGGGGTGGGAGGTGCCCAGATGCTATTACCGAAACAATGCCCCCTACTTTCCCAGGGTCCCTCGGTTGTAGGTCCTTTGCCCACCGCCGCCCTTGAAATTATGGCTCTCAATGGCAGAGTTTGGTGAAAAGGAAAGGAACTATTTAAAAGTTATACAGGTTTGATTAATGGCTAAATGTCACCCGTAAATCTCAAAGCCCCTTTAAAGCACCCAACACACACGGTCCTGCCTTCCTCACTCTGCCCAGTCAGGCCAGTCAGGGGTACCGTACTTCAGAAGAAAAAAGAGCTCAAGTCCGGGGCCCAGCTAGGCAGGCGTCTTGCGGTTCCCAGCACCATCAGCTGTGCCGCCACGGTCTCCAGTTCTTAATCCCAAACCGTGTGGCACCTTCTCATGGCCCACTAGCAAGAGTCTTCCCTCCCCTTTTCTTCCCGCGTGGTCTTCACATTGTTCCCCAGAGTCTGCGTCTCTTTGTCTCTCCTGCAGGGCCTGTCTCCCTTCTCCCAGTTACATTTTGTATTAGAAGTTTTTCAGACCTTCCTGGTTAGCCTTGTTGAGATGCAAAATAACAATCTTTGCATATGAGGTCTGAAGCTATCCTGTTACTGACATGCAAAATGACTGTCAATGACCCAGCTCCACTTCAGGTATGAAGCCGTCCTGTTACTGGTACACAAAGTAACTCTCAATGGCCCCGCTCCAGGTCTCCCATCCCCCATGGTGGCCCGCCTTGGGCAGGGAGAATATCTCATATTTTTCTTGGACATCCCAATTTCTGGACACTGTTACAAATACCCTTTGGGGGGGCCATGGCTGTGCCCTGTTAAAATGTGGCAACTCTTTAGTGGCTCTCAGCTTTGTTCAGGGGACATTGGCCTTGCCCTGGGGTGTTTTCCATCATTTTAAACCCTAACTCCCACTTCTTTTAGTCCTGAGTTCACTTCTTATTTCAGACATTCCTGGAGATGATCATTTTTTCTTTCAAATTCAACTATATATATTTTTTATATACATATTAAATTTATTGGGGTGATATTTGTTAATAAAATTATGTAGGTTTCAAGGGTAGAATTCTATGATACTTCATCTATATATTGCATTGTGTGCCCACCACCCAAATTCAAATCTCTTTCCATCACCATTTACTTGACCCTCTTTACCCTTCACTAACCCCAAAACCCCTTCCCTTTGGTTACCCCCATACTGTTGCTTGTATCTATGAATTTTTGTTTGTCTTGTTTGCTCATTTGTTGCTTTTAGTTTCATATCCCACCTATGGGTGAAATCATATGGCTCTTGACTTTTTCTGCCTGACTTATTTCACTTAGCATGATATTTTCAAGGTCCATCCATATTGTTGCAAATGGTAGTATTTCATCTTTTCTTGTGCCTTAGCAGTATACCATTGTGTGTGTGTGTGTGTATGTGTGTGTGTGTGTGTGTGTGTACCATATCTTTTTTAATCTGATTATCTATCAAAGGACACTTCTGTTGTCTCCACGTCTTGGCCACTGTGAATAATGCCCTTGTCCTTGTAGCCAGGAGTGTGTGTGTATGCATTTGCTCCTGGAGGAGCACTCAGTCTTCTTCTTGCCTGGAAGGCCCAGTCTTCTGTCATTGGCACTGGGATGCTCACTCAAGGAAACTGGGCTCTGATGATTTGACTTTTTATTCTGATTATCTGTACATAGTTTACAATAAATAACCAAAACCACAAGTTAGGGTTTTATTTTCTATAATTTTCTTGAAGTGCTAAGGTAACAGGGGTCACATACCAGTGCGAGGGCCTAGATTCTGTTCATATTGGGGTTCAGACATTCTGGACATGCTGGACTTGATGCTTGGAGGATGAACTTGTCAAAGATTATTTGCAGGAATGTTTATCTCAAGGCCAGAAAGCAGAGGAGTTCAAGTTTGGGTCAAGTCTAACAAGCTGGCAGAGGGACAGGGCAATTCTAAGCATCATTCGTATGGTCTTCCCTGGATCTAAGTAAAACCATGCTGGGAGTAAAATCTGAAAATGCTGCGTGGGAGGAATCGCTGCAAGTTATTAGGCTCATGAGGATGCAGTTTGGGACAGATGCGGTGGAATATAAGCACACAAGTAGGGAAGATGGCCTCTTTCTTCTTCGGTGGCGAGGACAGCGGGTCCTGTTTACACCACAGACTTGGTGCAGCAGCCTCTGCATCTTGCAGTCAGCCTCCTGGGAGTCTCTGTAGGGGACAGCAAGGCCATTGACCTGCAGAGGGACAGTAGGAAAAAGGAGTGGAAGAAAATGTAGAGCTGGAGGGACACTGGCATTCTCACACATTCCACAGTCCTTGAGATAAGAGTAGGAGGTGCGGGGCGGTGGTGGGGTGGTGGGGGGGCTGGGGGAAGGTCCTTGTAGGGATTTAAACCTTCCTGACACCGCCCCCTCCAAAAGCATGACTGGTACTGTGATCTGAGACTCCTTTGGCTTGGGCAATGCACAGGCAGCAGGGTGTGAAGACCACATGAACACTCCAGAAATTATTAGAACATGACTGTTTAGGGAAAGGAACACAAATGACCTCTATTTGTTCAGGCTTCTCTAATTGATCGTCACAGAGTATTTCTTATCTTGCCTCTTGAATTTAATTTCTATGTAGTTCATTGGTAATGACAAATGCACCACTCTGACAGGGGACGTTGACAGTGGGGAGACTGTGTGTGTCGGGGTAGGGGGTAGATGGAGAATATATGGAGAATCCCTGTTATCTCCCGCTCAATTTTACCTATGAACCTAAAACTGCCCTAAAAAATTACTTTAAGAAAAGGGTGCAACTCACCTGGCCGGGGAGATGCCAGGCTCACGATGGTGGTTTTCCCAGGGCGAGGCTTATCCGTTGCTCTCTGGGTGTACTGACCCCGCGACTTCCCCAAGTGTGGGAAACCGCTGCATGATTTGTGGCAGTGGGAGACTGTGTTCATGCCCTCCCCTGGAAAACAAAAAAAGAGTGCAATGTTTTTGCAGTTCTTGGCAGTGACTGTGTATGGAGGAAGCGTAACAGAAACTGTTTTCTGATCAATACCACTGTGAACCTAAGACTGCTATAAAAATCTTTTCTTGATAAGAGAAAGGTAGTTAAAGAATTCTACCCATATGTTTGGAAACTAATAATGGATTCAAATCTGGTTATTAAAGTAAATAATATATAATAAAATTTAAAGATTAGTGTAACATTTTTTCAATTATGTATAATCATGAGAGAAATCATTAGAACTACCAAGACTGAGAAGCAGAGATAATATGGTACACATAAAGGGAGAGTCTACAAGTGTTCTAAAATTTTTATCTTAAATAGAGAGACTCAAAATGTGCCATTTCGTACTTGATTAAAATTATTAGAAAAGTGCAGATTAAATGAAGTTCTAGAAAAATTAAAATAAATTGACTTTAGGATAAATCAATCAATATTATAAAAAATGTAAGTTCTCTCTAGATCAATCTATAAACAATGCAATTACAAATTATCAAAAAACTTTTCTGAAACTTGGCAACTCTAAATAGCATCTGAAAGAAAGTAAATGTGAGAATGAACAAGACATTTTAAAATAGGAAATATGAACAGAGCTTACCTTGACAAATACTAAAATTTGTTAGACAATGTAATTCTGACATACTCTAAAGGTAAATTAAAAAAAAATGATATGAAAAGATGTTCCATGTCACTAATCATCAGAGAAACGCAAATTAAAAACATGATGAGATGTCACCTCATACCAGCCAGAATGGCTATGATCCATAAATGAACAAACAGCAAGTGCTGGTGAGGATGTGGAGCAAAGAAATCCCTAATGCACTGTTGGTGGGAATGCAAGTTGGCGCAGTCACTATGGAAAACAGTATGGACATTCATCAAAAGTTAGAAGTAGAACTGCCTTATGACTCAGCAATCCCACTTCTGGGTATATAACCAAAGAGATACAAAACACTATTTCAAAAGGATATATTCACCCTTATGTTCATTGCAGCATTATTTTCAATAGCCAAGGAAGCAACCCAAGTGCCCATCAATAGATAATTGGTTAAAAAAGTGGTGGTACATATATACAATAGAATATTACTTGGCCATAAAAATAGAAACATAACTATTTTTGACAGCATTGATGGGCCTAAAGGGTATTATGCTAAGTTAAATAAATCAGACAAAGACAAATACCACACGATTTCATTTATATTTGGGATCTAAAGAGCAAAATAAACTAAAACACAAAACAGAAACAGACCTACAGATACAGAGAACAGACCAATGGTTGCCAGAAGGGGGTGGGTTGGGAAATGGATGAAGAAGAGGAAGGGATTAAGAACTACAAATTGGTGATCACGTAATAGTCCCAAGGATGTAAGGTACAGTATAGGGAATATAGTCAATAATATTGTAATAACTATGTATAGTGCCAGGTGGGTACCTGAAATATCAGGGAACCACTCTGTAAAGTATGTGATTGTCAAGCCACTAAGTAGTACACCTGAAACTAATACAAAATAATAGTTCATATAAGCTGTAATTAAAAAATATGAAAATTATATGAGAAAGATGGCATTTTAAATCAATGAGAAAAATGTCTTTTTTAGAAAAATGTTCTGGGAATATTATGTAGTTATTTGGAAATTAATAAACCATGATTCACTGATATGAATTTTGGATAGACCACCGAGTTAGATGTATACACACATACAAAACAAAACAAAACCCTAACTAACCAAACAAAAAACTATGAAATCAAGAGAAGGCAGCATGGCTATCTATTTATTTTTGTTATACAAGGTGTACAAATCTTTCTAGTTATTAATTGATGTGAAATCTAAAACTCATAAAGGGAATTTGGATAGTGATGGACAATGATAAGAGTTAACTATTTATTGACCATTTTCTAAGTGCTAGGCACTCTTTGGGCTCTCTAAATCCTTTTTTTATTCATTTAATACCCATAACCCAATGAAGCATATGGATTTTAATACTAGATATCCTTTACAGGTTTGAAAACAAAGGCAAAGAGAAATTAAATAACAGTAAGTAGATGGTGAAGCTCGAATTCTGAACCAGTCAATTTGATTTCAGACCTAAGTGCATTCCAAAGCACCATGCTACATAATACTTCCTTAAATAATGTGAACAAATGTGCACAGAAAAATTCAGTATAAAATCAAAGAAATGACAAATAGGAAATTGTTAGCCCCACCTACTAGCAGTCAAAGGCAAGTGAACAATCGAAAATTAAGAAGACATACCACTCAATAGATAAATGGACAAATTTCACAGTGAGCTAATTCACACAATAAGAAACACATGACAAGTAAACATGTGGAAAGATCTTCATTCCCACTAATAATTAAAGTAATACAAATTAAAGAATGAGATAACTTTTTTAACTGTCACATTGTTCCAATGTGTCAAAACTATAGACAAATAGCTCTTCTTTTATGTTATTAGTTGGTGGCAACGTATATTGGTACAATGTTTTGAAGTAGCATTTTAGCTATATCTATTAAAGTGGCACATTAACAAATGCAATTCTATGTCTGGGAATTTTTTTTTTAAAAATATACTTACATATAATCATATATATATGATTATTCATTACTATATTGTTTATAATGGCAAAAACTTGTAGCCATTTAAATATCCATTAGTAGGGAATTAGCTAAACTAAAAAAAAACCCAAAAAATGAATAGTGATGAATTTCAGAGGGAGAATTGTAGGAATCATGGAGAAATTCGACTTTTTTTCTTATATTTTTTGTTTTTTGTTTTAGATTTTATTTATTTTTAGAGAGAAGGGGAGGGAGGGAGAAAGAAAGGAGGAGAAACATTGATCAGTTTCTTGCAAGAGCCCCAAATGGGGAAAGAGCCCTCAACTTGAGTATGTGCCCTGACCAGCAATTGAACCAGTGACCTATTGATTTGCAAGACAACACCCAACCAGCTGAGCCACACCAGTCAGGGCCTTATGTTTGTTTATTTTAATGTTTTCTAATGTTAAAGCAGTACTGTAGCAATCAGAAATAATAATTAAGGTATTTTTAAAAAGTTATCTTTAGAAAAATCCTGCAATTCTTAAAACAGACAAGTAATACTAAATAATTATGGGTAAATGAACACTATATTAAAATATTAGAAAAGTTATTTATAATTTATCAAAGAGTCAAATGAAAAGTAGATTTGTCCATCTTAGTAGATATTCAAGTACTTGAGATAAATATTAATTCTGATTTTAAAATCTCTTAGTAGACATAGAAGGGTAGCTCACAACATGATTGAGATGTTAAACCAGTAGCGAACATCACTCTTAGTAGAAACCTCTAGAAACATTTTTATGAAATTAGTGAAAAAATAAGATATTCTAAGGATACCCACGATACTCACTATTTTCATTTGACATGATTTTGGGCATTTTAATAAGAAAATATATAAATATAACTAGGGGAGAGGAAAAAAACTTTTTTCAAAAAATGTAACTGCCACCTTGGACAACTCAAGATAAGTAAATGAGATAAAATTACAACTAAGAGTTTATTGACATGTTCAGTTATGAAATAAATACGTAAAATATTTATTGCTTTTCTATATTCAGTGAAAACCATTTAGAAGAAAAGGGAGATCCCATTTATTCTCATAAACGGTTTGAAAAGTAAATAGAAAATGATCTACAAATATTTTGGAAGAAGATATTAAACTGTTATAAAACAAGATTACTATTATAGTTACCAAAATATTAACTGTGGTTATCATTGAGTGGTTGGATGGTGTTAATAATAAAGATACTATTTTAATTTTCTTCTATTTATCTTTTTTATTTTTTAATCTTTATTTAATCTCATTTCTATTTTATAACCTTTTTATATTACTTTTATAATAGACACAATCTGTTTTTTCATTATTTTAAGTTATATTAAATTTTAAATGCATTGTAATCTTTGATTGCCAGATTCCTTAAGAACATCACCTGTGAATTGGTAATTGCAACAGTAAGCCACATTTCAATTTGTACTGTTGAGAAAATATCAAAATTTGCATAACATTTTGCCCAACATATGCCAATTCATTCTGTTGTATTTTTTAAAAATAATCATGGGAGATAAGTGTGGTTGCTGATTCAGAATGAGATTCAGGATTTTTTTCAGGTATTTCAAACCTTTTTAACATATCAGAAATGTTCTGCTCATTTATCAAAGCATCACAGCTACTTCTATGAGCAATTTGCAGTGGAGTAATCTTTTGAATATTTAACCATCCACAATAAAACAAAATGTTCCAAAATCAGTTTAATTAATTTTTAAAATAAAATGAAATTCATTAGCCTTGATATCATACTTCTGGAAGAAGAGTACATCACAACGAAGATGAATTTTGACTCACTGTCTGAAGCTATGTTATCAGCCATTAATAATGTTTATTTGGCCTATACTAACCCTGATGATCAGGTAGAATGTGATTGTGGTATTTACTTCTGGCAGCGCTGCCAAATAAGTTTATTTTAATATATAATACAACAGGGTAGTCTAAGAAGAAATTTATACACTGATCCCTTTCTTTTAAAGTAATTGCTTCCTAGCACTTACTTTGATGATATAAAGGATAGCCACGGTATCAGGCACAGACACAGGGAACAGGCTGACAGCTGTAAGAAGGGAGGCGGGGGAGGTGGGACTGACCGGCGAAAGGTGCAGGGATGAGTTAAAGAACATGTGCGAGGGACCCGCGGACATGGACAACAGTGTAAGGACTGACTGTGGGAGTGGGGGACAGGCGGGTGGCAGAGGGCAAAGGGGGAAAAATGGGACAACTGTAATAGCATAAAAGAATAAAGTACTTTTAAAAAGACACAAAAATATTTTTAAAAAGTATAATCATGGTGAGGACTATCTCTGCTATTGAGCTAAAACCCACTTAGTTATTAGGAACAAGTTCTGAGGTAACTTCATTTACACTTTT